CCCTGGCCTAGACTTGAGGTGCCTTGGACTTTGGGGGGGCTAGGCCTGGCAAATGGGGAGGGGCTGGGGCAGCACCCGCGGGTGGGGGGGGCACAGCACAGAGCAGACATTCCACAGATTGTATTTGAGAGTCTTTATAACGTGTGGGAGATGACAAAAATAAATGGATAAAAATGCACTTTTTTGGGGGGGCGGGGGGGAAGCTTTAAAACAATTAAAAAAAAAAACGAAAAAAGACAAAAGTTGATGAAAATCTAGATGAAAAAAAAAGCAAAACCTACAACCATTTTTCTTGTACATAAAAACCACTAAAACGCAGCCTGTTACGACCTCTGCTGCCTTGTTTGCTTGATTTTGCTGTTGTTTGTGTTTTGTTTGGGGTGTGGGGTATGTGTGTGGGGGAGGGTTTTAGGGGGCCTCTTTCCTCAGCCACTCCCAATCCCGCTTCCAGAGCGCCGTAATCCTGGACTTAGATTTTGGTCACACCACTCGGGATCTGACTCCAGGGACCCAGAGAGAACTGAAACTCACCCCGCCTGGGTGGGGCTGTGTGGGATTGGGAAGCCAGGGGGGTGTGGTGAAGGGACTCTGGTCCTTCAACCCAGTGCAGGGGGAGTGAGGGTCTGGGAGTTCAGGGCCTGGAGGCCCCCAGGGAGGAGGTGTCCCCAGGAGAGCAGCACAGAAGCAGGCCAGCACGGGAGAACCGGCTGAGCCGGTTGTGAGCTGAAGTGATCAGGGCCGTGGCCTCTCATGGATCACCTCCGTCCAACTCAAACTTTATAGAGGCCCTAGTTAGGGTGGCTGTGGCCCCAGCTCCCAGAAACCACTGGAGCCCTCCCACCTCACACGGTCCACTTAGTAGGGAGGGGGGCCAGAGGCTGGGGTCACCAAACAGCCACCTCCAGTGCCCTGCCCCTGTCAGCTGGGCCCATGGCCTGAGCAATGTGTCCACTAGATGGGGGCGGGCATCCCTTGGGCAAGGAGAATCAATGGGGGCTTGCATGGTGGAGTGGGCCTGCAGCTACGCCACACCCATCCAGTGGTCTGCCCACCACTGCCTAGGGAGTTTGTGTCCACTAGGAATCCTGCTGCCTTCTCTGGATTGGGCTTGGAAAGAGCCATACCCCCGAATTTAACATCTCAGCCCTGCCCCTGAGCACCAGGGACCCGGCAGGGAACTGATGGGTCACAGGACACAAGTGGCCGCTGGATGTTGAACCAGGGTGGAACCAGAGTCCTCAAGAGCTTCTTCCCCATGACCCCTTGAGGGGAAGGGTAGTTTTGATTCTAATTGAGCTAGATTTTAGATTTCATCAATTAAAATTGGTCCATTAAAATGAAGTGAGCGGTACAGGATGAGTGTCTCTGACGTATATTATGAGCGACCACGCAACTGAACCATGTCTATACAAATGCTAAAATATATCTGTATGTCTATGTGTAAATGTCTCCAGCCCGCAAAGACAGTGATGAGATTTATAAAGATACTGATGATAAAAGGCAATTGTGAAAACGTAAAGAGGTATTCGATTTGCATCAGAACCGACTGCCTGGGTGGACGCTGCCCTCCCCCGACACCCCCCCCGCCCCCGCCCCAATAAATTGGGACTTCCTATACATTCAAGTTATGCAACCAATATTTTCAACGCCTCAAAAGAGGACTCACACGCACAAGTATGGTAAATAAAAATTCCTAGGATAGCTCTACCCACCATCGATCTCTTATTTCCATGGCCCTCGAGCCCTAGGCAACCAATAATCTGCTTTCTGCCTACGGTTTTGCCAGCCCTGGGCGTTTTGTATACATAGAATGTGAATCTGTGGGTCTGGCCTCTGTCGTTGAGCACATGCTCCGAGTTCTTCCACAATCGAGACAATTCCCCCCTTGGTCATCTACCATCGTACCGCGGGGCCACGTTGTGTGTTAATGGCCGGCTCTCGGGTGGTTTCCACCTTTGGGCCATCGGGAAGACTGCCGCAGTGGACGCTGGTGTACAAGTCCCAAAGCCTTGCTTTCCGTTTGGGGAGGCAGAATTGCTGGGTCAAGCGAGTCTCGCAAATCCGTTCTCCCAGCTCGACGCGAGCGGGAAGCGACTCAGTAACTAGCCAACATTGCCCGGACGTGGATGCCCCTCTCATCCACCAGCCGCGTCCGCGTCCGCTCTTCCACATGCACGTTTGCCCTTGTTGATCCCGGCCGTCCGAGTGGGGCAAAGTGAGACTTCACTGTGGCTTTGCCAAGACGGTGGCGCGGAGCCTACCTTGGCCACCCACAGGTAGGTAGGCAGTGCCCGAAAGGTGTAACTCCCCTTGGGGCCCCCAGCCCAGCCCAGAGGTGAACTCAAAATCACCATCGTTCTCGCCGTGCCTCTTTTGCATCCACCAGTGTGTGCGTCAGAGAGGGGGCTCATGACACCGCCCCCTCCGAGGAGAGCGGCGGATCCCCCAGCTCTTCACAACCGTAGAGAAGGGACACCGCCGCGCTAGCGTTGCCGTGGCTGTTTTTATTTGCATTTTTAAAAAAACAATTAAATTAGAATACAAATATTAGAAAACAGTGGCCCTCGGTAGCCCAGGCAGGTGGGGGCTGCCTGCGCCGCCGAGTTTACGTCGTGAGAGGGAGTCTGCAGTCCCTTCCCGGGACCTGACACGGTATTGCTTCCTGACTAGAGGGGCGTGGCCGGCACACAGGAGGGCGGCCCTGGGGGCGGGGGTCCGGAGGTCGGCCGAGAAAGCAAAGCAAACCCCAAGGGCAGCGTGGAAGTCCGGGGAGGCTGGGTGGGGGCTGGCACCCAGCTGCGGGGTCCCGGAGCCCAGTAGGGAGGGGCTCCTGCTGGAAGACATGGGTGAGGCTTCCCGGGGTAGGGGCACCAGGTGAACCTCGTACCCGTCCAAAAACCCAAGAGCAAGAACGAAAAGGAAGCAACCCAGGTTGGGGGTGGGGATGGGAGAGGAGAGAGAGTGGGAGGGGGTCCCCGCTGCCCCCCGGGGCGTGGCCACCCCGTGGGCATCTGCACTGTTCCGTAGGGACGTTAACCTGAATTGGAGTTACCGAGGTAGCTGGCTAGAAAACTGAGACCCCCCCAACCCCCACTGCGCCCCAGGACGCCACCCCACGGCCCCCGCCTTCCACGGGGAGGCCTGGCTCCCAAAGACCGAGTTATTGCACTTTCCAAAAATACAACCCATCTGTGGCTGGACCCGTCCCCAACCCCCCTCCCCCTCCATGGCTTCTTGGCTAAAACAGCTCGCTGGTCGCGAGGGGGTCTGGGGTGCGGGGACACATTTGCAGAAAGGGGGGAAAAAACCAACTGAAAAGCAAAAGGAACCTAGGACGTGGCTGTCACTGGGGAGGGGCGCCTGCCGCCTGCCTCGCCCCCACACCCGCTGGAATGGTCCTCAGACAGGGGCGGGGCAGCACATCGGGAAGGGCCCGCTCCGCTCAAGTTTGGGGGCAGCGGCTTGGGCCACGCAGCATTCAGCTGGAGGGCCGCTTCGCCTTGTTTGTTAAGAGTTCTGATTTCTGGTTTGTTTCGTGGTCTCTTCTTTCGTTCGTACTTTATTTATTTTTCCTTCTTCCGTCATTTATCTGTCTTAGTCCTCCGCTAGGTGTCCAGAGGTACAGGTGCCGGGAGCCGGGGGGGCAAGGGCGGGGCGACAAAGGAAGGGCAGTGGGAAGAACACGGGACCCCGGGCCGGGCCGCCTGCACCTCCGCGTGGTCAGCACCAGGAGAGTCGTGTGTCCAAGGCGGCGGTCAGCAGGCCGACACCAGGCCCTTTGGGAAGGGGCAGCGCCGCTTGGGCCGGGGCCCGTCCTCATCCTCGTCCTCCTCGTCTTCCTCCTCCTCCTCCTCGTCTTCTGACGATGACGAGCTGTCCAGTGTGAGGTCCACCACGTCGGCTCCCGGCTTCCCGTTCTCCACGCCGCCCGCTACACCGCCCCCGCCGCTGGGGCCGCTGGCCGCACTGCTGAGGCCAGCACCTCCGTTGACGTTGGGGGCGGCGAGGACCCCGTTGGCATCAGACGGGCCTGCAGGGGCAGAGACGGGGCAGCCCTCATGTGGGCAGCTGACCTAGAGTGGCGCCCGGGGTCCGGGCATGTGCCTCACTTACCTCACCAAGCAGCACACAGCTGCCAACAGGCACAGGCCCAGGCCCTGTGGCCCCAGCCTGACCCAGTGACTGGCAGCCTTCAGACACCCCCAGTTGTGAATGGGACCCTGACTGGGACCTGTGGGCACCAAGGCCAGGAGGTGGTGGGCTGGGGCCCAGGGGTGCCGCTTTATTTAGGATAGCATAACTACAAACAAGGTGGTTCCCAGACTTCAGGCAGGACCAGCTCTTGAGTAGGGGCAGTGCTGGGCGGTCAGGGTACTGGGGGGGTGCTCCAACAGGCAGGT